TTTTACTTTTTGCGTATTTCACCATATCTGGACAACTTAAAAATTAAAACAAAAAGTTTTTGCTTATGATTATAAAATTAGAGTTAAATTAAAATAATCATTATTATCCATTGAGAATTCCATGCAAAATATAAGTTTCAATAAATATTTATTATTTTTCATTGTTGTACTCCATTAATGGTTGAAAAAATGTTGAAATCTAAGGTAAAAATATTTTTACATCATTCTAAAGAATGAAATTTTAAATGGAAAAATTCAAAGTTTGAGCGAAATTGGTCGAATAGTTTCTGAATAATCGAATTTTGAAAAAGTCGTATTCTTAAAATTTGATTTTTCAGGTTTTGGTGAAACCGATTTTGTTCGAATTTTTTACTGTGCCCTACAAAAAAAAAACATTCTTTAAAATGATGAAAAAAATCGAGTACCTTAAGATCATAATTTTCACGACAGACTTTTGTTTCGTTTGGTGTATAGCAGAGTCAAAGAATTTCACTAAATCACGGCAACTTACTCCTGATTGTGAACAAACTGGCGATATTCAAAGCTCATCATCAGTTTTTTCCGAAACGAAAAAAATTCTCGCTTGGTGTGAATGAGCTAGAGTTTGGTGTAAGCTTAAATACCATTATAAAGATTTAGATTTAGAATACAATATTTAATTGAAAATAAAAGCTTGATTTGGTGTTAAGTTGAATTCTCTCTTCCACACATTTTTTTAGGTTAGTCAATATCATGTTCGGAAAGACATTAAACCATAGATTGTACAGTGTAGAGATGCCTGAAAAAAATTTAAACAAAAATGTAAAGCTTCCTTCAAAAACAAGGAAAAGTGGTTTCTATGATAGGGAAAACAGGATTTTTGAAATTACAGTATCATGTGAAAAACGTATCAAGGATATGTTTTCCTCATATGATATTTTAATTCTAAAAAAACCCAGTTATCTTAAAAATCTGCAAATAGAAGAAAGTTCTTCTGAAGTTTACTAACAAGATTTGCTGAATGATGATTTTAAGGTAATTATTCAAAGATACTGATTTAGCTAATGGTTCCTTATGTATAAACGATAGTACTTCATTACAATAATTCCGAACAGATGTGGTCTATTCGGAAACGAATATCAAGGATAACAGTATTATACATGCGTTCTCGGTACCATTGAAATTTACATATCAAAAAATAAAACAAAATTGTAATATAATGTTAGACTGTTTTCTTCAGTGCATTTTTGTAGATCAGTACGAATTCAGTTTTTGTCGAAGACTTCAAATACAGCGAAAAAGAATAATGTTAAATACTATATTAGAAAGTAAAACTTTTAAAATTTTTGGAAGTTTGCGATTCACAAATTTTCTTATAACGAGATAATATTGTCGGATTGATGTAAAATTTTTAAAGCTGTTAGCGAGGTGAGATTTTACAGTATATTATATTGTAATTCAATACTTTCAATAATAAATAACCTTGAAAAAGTGTGAAAGAATTTCCGAAAAGTATGAACAAATGCGGAATATGTACAGTCATTCGACTTAAGTTTCTTTATTGTACACTTCCACATAAATTGTTTTTAATTGTTTAATCATGGGTATTTCATCGTTTGGACATTAAAAAATGTAAGATTTCCCAAAAAATCAAGATAAAGATCTCCCAAACAAAAAGAATGGAAAAAAAAAAATAAATATTCTGTTCGAAATTAGGTTTGATTTGTTTCGGTGTAAAAACCGCTGGTAACGGTAATACAAATGATGGCATTATCGTTAGGTGCATTTTCGACGATTCTGAAATATCAACTGGCTTTAAAATAGCATGCATTTCAAGTTTTTCACACTGAACTTCCCTACAGTTAGAAATTTAAATCTTTCACAGTGAGTAACACTATACCAGCCGTCAAAAATACATTTGAAGTAGATGAATTTACAAAAAATCATTATCAGATAAGCAGGGGATCTACCCAAAATCCGAAAAACCCAGGGGTCCACGAGATAAAAAAGTTCAGAACCACTGGTTTAACCTTCAGTTTATCAACTTGATGACAGTACATCTCAAACTTGTTTACATCAATAATATTTCTGCTACTGCTTGCGCAGTGTAGAGGTGTAGAGTTATAACTTCGCTACACTATTCAAGAAAGTATATATATATATATATATATATATATATACATACATATATCACTCAGAATTTG